GGATGGCAAACTGCAGAAAGCATTGATGATTTTTATAGAGAATTTCTGTTATATATAGTCAGATTAATTATTTCCGTCTAGGTTTGCCACCTTTAAATAGCTGTGGATTAGTTCCATGTTAATAAAGCAGCTCGTAATTAGTTAACAGTGTCCTGCCCTTTGTGGCTGCTGTTCATAATTTTTTTTTTGTTTCCTTTTTATGCCTGACGGTGACTTCAGTGCAYGTGTAACACTGCTTATATTGCAGGGACTGGCTCCACAAGCCCAGAATCCCAGCAGGATTGCTCCTAAAAAGCTCCAGGGACTGTCCCGGAAGGCACTGAAGCTCTTGGAGGAACTGGGAGAGCTCAGAGTAGGCTTTGGGCAGCCCTGGAGTTTTTTTATCAGACCTGGATTTTTGGGCAGTCCTGGAGTTTCGGTCAGATCTGGGTTTTTGGGCAGCCCTGGAGTTTTGGGCAGATCTTGAGTTTTGGTCACTCCTGGATTTTGTTGCAGCCCTGATTTTTGGTCAGACATGGATTTTTGGGCAGCCCTGGAATTTTGTGCAGCCCTGGAGTTTTGGTCAGACCTGGAGTTTTGGTCAGATTTGGTAGATTTGACATCCTGCTATGCTCACAGTGTGTTGTCACCTTGCAAAGTGGTGCCTGGGAAATGCGAGAGGAAAGGAGGTGTTTCACACTGGCCAGTGTGTTTGATAACATAAATAAATAAAAAAATGTAAAAAAGGATATCCATATCCTTTATTTAGCCACAAATGAATAGATAAACCAACATAAAGCAATGAAATGCCCAATGGGAGGTGTGGCAGGGCTTTGGGGTGAGATGGGCTCTGAGTCCCTTCCCACCCAGGCCATTCCATCACTCGAAGTAAAGATGCTGTGGATTTTTCTGTGATTGCACTGAATTGTTTTCAGTCACTTCCAGGCCTCTTCCTTTCCTCCCCTCCTCACTCACAGATCCTGTATTGGCCGTATTTTATAAACAAACCCCGAAAAACCAAGCAGCTCTTTCCCCCTCTGGGTAAAGTGCAGGATCTGTTGTCAGAGGAGAGATTGGATCAATAAAGTGGGGACAGAGGCTGTTCCTCCCTCCAGCTTGGAGTGGAATCCAGGGAAAACATCAGCAGGACGCATGGGGGTTGAAACTTGGGGCTGCTTGCTTGGAAATGCAGCGAGGAAGATGATTTGGAGGGGAAAAAATAATGATTTTGTGGTAATCAGTGTGTGCTGGGCAGAAGGGTTAGCAGTGATGGTTTTTATAAGGTGGTGATGCTTTCGGAGAGCAAACCCCACAGTGCTGGAGTGCTTCCTAATTAATGCACAACCTAATTTTCCACTTTTTCTGCTTGAGCCCCTCATTCCTCATCCCCTCTGTATAATTCCTGTCCCTCTTCAGCTCCCTCGTAGCCCCTCTGGATCTCTGGAATGTTTGTTGGGGTGTCCACTCAACCTTCTTTTCTCCAGGCTGTGCAGCCCCAGCTTTCTCAGCCTGGCCTTGTAGGGGACAAATCATTCTTGTGTCAGGACCGTGAGATTCTTATGTTTAAAAAAAAACCAAAAAAACCAAAAAAAAAAAAAAAAAAAAAACCAAAAAGAAAGCTTTTTGTGGGTGCAAAATGTGTGGAAACAGACTCGGGGTCAGGTGTGGTTCTGTCTCTCACCGATTTTTGGGTTCTTGGTGGGGATAAATGGAAAGGAGTGCAGGGCTGAGTTGTGGGGTTGTGTTTTTGGGGGCTTCGTGCAGCTGGGGAAGAACAAAGTGAAGGATCTTCAGCTGAGGGAGCTGCTTTGTGTTTGGTGCCTTCACCCTGCCCTCACCCACGTTATCAGGGTTTTATTTTGGTGTTTTAATGGGATTGCAGGTGTATAGCTCAGCAGGATGGAAAATGCTGAAAAAAGACATGCTGTGTATGATATAATACATCATACAATMGTATATAATTAAATCATATAATCATATAATCCACAATCATCAGKCATCAGCAGCACTCCATGCGGGGCTGTGGGGAGGGCACAGCTRCCCATGTGCCTGCCCTGTGGTTCTGGGGAGCTCTTAGGTGTGCCCTGGTAGAAGCAGGCTGCAGTAAACAGGCATTAAGGGACTCCCTGTGCTCCTGTGCCTGAGTTAAAAAAAAATTAAAATGTTAAAGATTTTTAAAGATTTTAGAAATCCAGCAGCGAGACTCTGAGCAGTTCTCCTGCAGGGCAGGAAGCCTATCTGTCCCTCCCTGGTTAAACAATGTTTTCCACACCTGCTTGTGGGAATGTCCCTCTGCAGCGATGCTCGGCGTGTTCATCGGGCCAGGGGTGATCGCCCTTGTCCTGGAAGGCACTGGGAGCACAAGTTAAACAAACTCACATTTGTTTTGCTTTTTAATCTTATTTTTTTTTTTAAAAACAAGATAATTGGCTCAGAAAACCCTCTGGAGCTCTGGATACCTGAGCACAGGGGTAGACAGAGTTGTGCTTCTTTAAGGGGTRTTTCCTTGAGACAGTGGTGAGGTGACAAATTTAGGATTGTCAAAGACACACGGTGGCTCGGTCTGTGCTGAGATCAGTGCGAGGGGCAGCTGAAAATCAGAATTTTGGGAGAGGTAAAGGGGGATATGGCTGCTGTGTCCTGGG